CTCTCAATGGTACAAATCTGGCATCAAAATTTCTGCAAAGGTTTTGAATTTTCGACATTTGTATGGTTTTTAAACTAAAATTTTTGAAATTTGCAACCCTGGAATTGGGTTTTGTCAGAGTACACTCAAAAACTGCAGATCTTGTTTGCAATATGTATAGTTTTTCATGGGTTGGCAAAAATGCGAAGCAACGGAGGTGCGTTACGCGTTAGTTTATTGAATTTGGTAGCGGATGTATTGCAATCAAGGATCAAAAAAATTTTCTTCTGAAAAATGTGCTTACAGGACGCACATCCTACAGAACGCACAACTTACAGATCTTCTTTGAGCATCGTTGCTTTTTAAACGCACGGTCTACACAAAATCTGTACTTACAATTGCGAGAGCAAGTGTCTTGTAATCGGGAACTAAACTTTTTTCCCTTAAATAATCTTACAAATCTTACTTATCTTAATTTTCTTACTTGATTTTTTATTGAACCTAAACAACTTCCATTTTGGTTCCCCTTTGGCCTAGAGATAACGTCGTCCTCTTTCACCCTAAGTGTGTGTGAAGTCTGTTTTTTTTTCAATCTGTATGAAGTTGAATGTGTTTTTCCTGTAAAATTTGAATTGTCGGACTCTTCTAGGTCTGCTCAAGTTTTGTCGACGACTTAATTGCGACGTCACTAATTTTTCTTGTGCTTTAAGTTTTTTATTATAGTTGAAAGTGTTTTTTTTTGTAATTTCAAAAGGAGTTTGGAAAGTTTTACAAAATCAGTTTTTTTTTTCAGTTGAACTGTTGATTGCCCAAAAATTGCTGGCTTTGTTTCCGCTTCGCAAATTTTGTTTCATTGCAAATTTTTTTTTTCAAAATTTTTTGCTTGAAGTTTTTGCCCAGAATGTGCTGATATCAAGGCATACGGAAATTTTGGTAGACCTAGTTTTGTTTCACAATTTATCATTTCTTTTTGACTTTTTTGTATTTTGTGTTTTAATTTGTTAGTGTTGTATTGCAATTGATGCGAAGCTCCATTTTGCCTCTGCGTTTCATCTTTCATTTAAGTCTATCAACTCCAATTTTTTATCGCCCTTGCAAAAGAAAATGTCTTTTAATCGGGAACTGAAGACAAAAAACGTAGGATTTACGACAAAATTTGTAAAAACTTTAAGATGAAACACCCAGAAGAATATCAGATGCTCGTGTTAGCAGGAGTTGACGTCAAAGAGTGTTTGCCGCAGCTTATTGTTAGTCAGTACTCAAAGCTGTATCCCGAAGAGTTTCAAAACATTGCTGACAGCTATGACTGCGAGTCTAATCAAAGTTCAACGAATGCACTGAATTCAAGTAGCGCACTGAATTCAAACATCATTTTGAAACTCAAACACAGGCTGAAAAAATTGCACTCAAGTTTTGGTGACATATCTTACAACAATCCTGGATTCTCATGCCTCAACGAACTCGCCGAGTTTGCTCCCACGGGATCTAATTGGAATACTAATCAAGCATCTTATAACCATTCTAATTCTCTGCCGGGTTCTAGAGGTGAAGCACCACACCTTGATGATTGCTTGTCCTGTGGTCCCAGCACCAGTAGTATTGCACATCACTCTCACTGTGATAGAATAGGAAGCACAGTCCTTGTACCATCACCTAGTGCAACCAAAGGTATCCTCGACATACCAGAACTCACATCATCGCACGCTCACAAAATATTATTTCATTACTAACTGTCTTCTAGAGAACAATATGCACATCGGGTTTCCACTGCAGAACAAAGTTTGGTGAAAGGGTAGGTTTGATTCTTCTAAGCTTGATTTTTTTGCGCTAAAAGAATGTTTCGTGGATTAAAATTATAAAGGGTTTCGTGCTATTGGTGAAATAAATTGGATTTCAGCCTGAAACATTGATTTATGTTAAGGACCTCCAGATAAGTGGAATTTTTGGAAGAAAATGACCTAAATTGTATCGAGTAAATTGTATCGAAAGGAAAAAGTTATTTGTAACTCTCATCGGCTTAAGGCTCACATAAAAAATCACTCTGCTTTTCACAATGCATAAAACACAAAAAAAAACACGGTTTTCTAATTTTATCAGCCTTGTTTTTGCTATTCAGTGAACTAGATCATCGATTACGGTATGTTATGTCTCCAGGTTACGGTTTTTGTTGTTATTTAATATTGAGGCTTTACTGTCATCAATGTCATTTTGATTTGATTTTCTCGAACTACGAAACTAATGTATTGACTTTTTTAGGAATTGATTCAGATTGGGAACCTATCAAAGAAAGCAAAGATGACCAGATTGTATCAGTTGCAGAAGGACATCCGGTCACAATCCAGTTCTCAGTCCCGTTTTTGGTCCAGCACGACATCCAATCCGATTCTCCTGTCAACTACTCAGTCGTGACGACACGTGAAGACAAAACCGGGAAAGCAGTCGTGAATCTGAAATGGGACGTGAAATCGGACACCGAGAAAAATTGCACTGTTTTTACTGCCACGCTTGACGAATTGTCAACTGAAGAGTGTGGAAACTATTTTGTCTCTGTGACTGCTGAAAAACAACAGCATACACATGTTTTGGCGATCGATGTTGGTGAGTGCTTTTTTAAATGTATCACCTATTTATTGTTCCGACTATTTGAAAAATGTTGAGGAACTTTGTATTAGGGTGTGTTTTAGTTTTTTCTTTTTTGTTTTCCTCGCAAACTCAGGTACCACAAAAAATCAAAGGAATAGGTCGAGTTATATATCTAATTGATGATAGTGTGTGAGGACAAGCTCTCACTTGAGCTACAGCTTCAGGTCTACCACAACCTGACCAAATTTGGCTGCAATAGTGGTACCACGTAAAAGTTCTAGACGCAAAAAAACGGCCTTGAGTCGCAAAAAACAGCTTCGCTCAGCAAAAAATAACACTGTCTAGAATGTGGGGAGATAATAGAAATGGACTATCCTCGACAGGACTGTTAAGGCCTACTGATAGCTCATCTGCGATTCGCAGGAACTACAATTAACTAGACTTTTTTCCTGTAAATAACTTTTTTTACACATCTGCAGGAAGTTGTGATGTTGCTTTATTAGCAAACCTTGGCAACTTCGAGACCTTTTCCCACTTGGCCTAGAGGTAATGCAGATGCCCTTGTACTAGAAGGTCTCGAGTTCGAGTCCCGGTCGGATTTTGATTTTCAGTAGGTATTAAATTGAACATTTTTGTCTTGGAAAAATCGAATGGTCGGATTTTCGTTTGTCTGCTTATGTTTCGTCGGCTTAGTTGCCAAGTCGGGTAATTTCCTCGTGCTGTCAGCAATTTTCAATCTGTATCTCGCCTAAATGGTTCCGGCTTATTTTTATTGACCTAATCATCTCATTTTGTGTCGCTTCAAAGGCAAATAATGATGGAAAATGCAAAAATTTGACAAATTAAGGTAGTTTTCTTGCAAATCTCATAGTTTTAAAACTTAATTGCTCAAATTTTTTTATGATAACAGTTTCCTTCGTTGATATTTTGTTTTTTTGCTCAAAGCGTCTGTCCACCTGTTGTGCTGCTGAGTGAATACTAAAATTTTATTTTATATTGGTGATTGTTTTGGACTAATTTTCTAAAATTATGTTCATTTTCCCCATTTTCTACTTGTTTTTTCCGTCTCATTTTCTAGTCGCTAGTTTGCAATGCTGTGCTTGCGTTGTATCGCAAGTGATACGAAGTTCCGCTTCGCGTCTGTATAAACTCTGATTTTTCCTCTTGAGGAGGTCTTTCAGTTTAAAAGTTTTGTGTTTAGCATGGCATCGATTGAGGGGATGAAAAAGTTTTTTTTTGCTGTTGATTGACCCAAGATGGATTGACCCAGAATTCAAATGCGTTGAATTTCAATATGAATAAATAGACTTTGAACATCAAGAAATTTCTTGCTTACTATTTTTCCTTTGGCTCAACAAGCGTCTCCCCAAATTTTGTTGGCTTAATTACCGCATTATGAGTTTAGTTTTAATGGTAATTCAGCATCGGTTATCGTGTTCTTCGGAGTGTTATTCTGAAAATTAAATTCGTTAAATTTTCGGAAATTTGTGCTGGATGTGGATTTCGACTCTTTAACAAAAAATTTTTGACCGAATTTTATTGATTATCTGATAAAATTGGATGCCCTTAAGTGAAACGAAAAAAAGTTTTTCAACTGTGATTATTTTTTTCTTAAAATTTTGGAGTTTCAATTTGGGATTAATCATTGAGCCTGAAGTCGTTATTTTTCTATTAATTGGTAGCGTAGCTCATTAATCAGTCCGACTCAGGAGTCATTTCAAATTGAAGTAAGACAAGTTTGTTGAAGCAAACTTTTGCTTAAACGAGCGTGAAAAATAAACTATTAATACTTGAAATTCCGTGGGGCAAAATTTTTTTTTATAACTTGTGTCAGTTTTGTCAAAAATTACAGCAGACACATCAGAGAGCAGTTGGAACATTCAGAACATCGCCTTGATGTGAGCAATTTTGTTTGGTCTTTTGTTGTTGGATTCAGAGAAATGCATCCTTTTCTGGAAAAAGCAATAATTACTTCGTACAAAGTATTAACTAGGTTTGCTGGGAAGGTTATAGTTGTTATCACGTTCAGGACTTCGTGGTTTAATATCAAAATTTAAACACTGCATAGTTATAGGAAATGTTGCTCAAGTTTTTGCGGTTTGAAGCAATTTGATCGAAAACGCCATTTTTATCATTATTTTAGGTGTGGCTAAATTGAAGTTAACCATCAAATTCGGAGGATATCAAGAGCTTATAGTTGATTTCAAATCTGTTAACTTTCGCAGTTTTTTTCCGTCGCTTTTCATTTGATTTTATGAGTTAAAAGTTAAGCTGAAGCTCATATATGCAACAAATTAGCAAATAAATTGAGATTCTTTCATCAACCTTATTTCCATTTTCGTTTATTTTCCTCAATAATTTGAAGCCAACTCTACTGTGAAAAGCGAATAACGTACACCACCACAAATATATTATGGAGGAAGAATCAAGCTGGCAAATCGAAGATTCGTCTAACAGCCACAGTGAATCACGTAATTATGACGTCATAATAGTAGGTGGGGGAATATCTGGTCTGGTGGCTCTCAAGTATTGTAAGGAAGCGAACATGAGCTGTGTGCTCCTGGAGGCCACTGACAAACTGGGGGGTCTGTGGACATACCGGAAAGACATGGACTATGGTGCCATGAGTTTCACTCACATCAATGTATCAAAGGTAGGAGGGAGTTAATGAGTTTCATTGTTCATCGGTAAGAGGGTATTTTTCATTCGATATTAATAATGGTGGTATCTGCGAATCGAAGAGTATATGAAAAGTTGTTCAGCCTGCCTAAGCATAGTCCATTTCTCTTAGTTTTGCAGGCCAGTTTTGCTTTCTAATTACTAAATGACATATTGCGGGACCAATCCTTATAAAAGTTTCTAGAATGTCTTTAAAGGAGACGCTTTTATGGCCTGCACGATTAGTCACAAGTGAAAAATTTCTCACTGATTTGAAACCTAAATATGGTACAGATAGCTTCGATTTGAACTATGTTTATGTAAAAAGACTAACGCCATCCATAGTCCCGACACTTACAGTTGTTTCAAGAAAGTTTCGATGAAAAATACTTTCTAAAATGCCTTGCTCTAGCAAAAAATATTCCATTTTACAAAGAAGGATGACATTCCCAGCCAAAAAACTATAGACCCATTTTATTGTTTCCTGCACTTGGTGCATTTAGAAAAACTGTGTGGAATCCGGAACCAGTTTGTCATGAACAAATCATAATATATGTGTTTAGTAACTTAAGATGTCGCGGAATCCCCAATTGTAAGTGGAATCCGCAAATTGTAAGAGGAATTCGCTAATTGTAAGCAGTTTCCGCAAATTATAAGCGGAATCCGCATAAAATTGAGAAATCGACTTACATTTGCGGAATCCGCTCACATTTGCGGAATCCGGAACAACTACCTATAATCGCTCGTTCCGGAATCTGCAACAAAATCAATGTGCCAAAAAAACCTACGTTACAGCTATTTTTTACGCGGAATCCACTGAAATTATGTAAATGGAATCCACTTACGTTTTGGAATATGTTTAAAAACTTGTCTCTGGAATCCAGGAACATACAAACACAAAATAGTTTGGCGATCCAGTGCACAGTTTGGCCTCGTAATGATTTAACAAAATCAGTTGAATCAATTTTGTTGACAAGCTCAATTTCATGAAAATTCAAATTTCACTACCGGGTACTACTCAAACTTTTGTATGTATAATAATAGAGTTTTACTGATGATTTTCTGCTGTTGGTTTTCCGCAGATGATTTTTCGGCTTCATGGTTGTCGACTTAAGCTCTGTCGGTTTTGTTTCCAAATTATCTAGATCTTGTTTGATAAAAATAGGTAATACGAAAATGTATGGATTCGTGTTTTTATATATATTTTAGAAGATTTCTCTCCTTTCCTTGTATACCTTCATAATTTTTTAGTCTCTTTTTACCTTTACTTCATTTTCTACAGACTTCCAAAAAGCGTAAACGTATGGGGTGAACTTTTAACCCATATTTTTTAACCCATATTTTTTTCCAATTTTTCTCGAAAACTACCCTCCCAATTTTGAAGTTTTGGATTCCACAGGAAGAATGAGTTGCGAGAAACTCCCCTGCATTAGCGACTACGCTCAAATTTTCCCACGCCCAAATATTATGGCGCTCGGAAAAGTCAAACTTTCGTTTTCGTAACCGTTTTTTGAAAACTTTTCTCGAAAACTACTCTTCCAAATCTGAGTTCATGGGATCAATAGAGATAACAACTTATGTGGAACCTCCGTGCATAAATGGTTCTACCAAATTTGTTAACATAAAATTTTATGACCCCTCGGAAATATTTGAATTTTTGATCGATTTTTGAAACTTTTCTCGAAAACGACCCTCCTAAATCTGACATTTTGATTTCAATCAAAAAGACGGGTTGTGTGAAACTACCCTGGTTAAACGGCTCTGCCTGAAATTTTCAAACGAGAAGTTATAATTTGAGGAAAAGCCAAAAACTGTGATTTTTTACCGTTTTTCAAACTTTTTGACTTTTCTCGAAAAATACCATCCCAAAACTGAGATTTTCAGTTCAAAATGAGATCGAGTCGTGAAAAGCTCCCCTGCATTAGCAGCTACGCCCAAAAAGTCTTACAACGGATGTTATGGTCCTCGGAGATGTCAAAGTTTCCATTTTTGACTGTTTTTTGAAATTTTTTGACTTAAGTTCTCGAAGACTACCCTCCCAAATCTGAGGCGGCAAAAATATATTAGCAAAATCGCACTTCGTTTAACTTGTGGACCTAATCTTAGTTTTTTATTTTAAAAGTTTTTTGAGTAATTTTTAAAGAAAGAATTTTTCACCTATTTTTTAGTTGAAAACAAGCCATCACCTTGTGAATTGTGCCATTTTTGATTGTTTCGTTTTCTTATATGGCTCATTTTTGCATCCGTACGTTTTCTGAGAAAATGTTAAACAAGTACTTCCAGCTTCAGCCGGTCTCTCGTAGGATTTCTTCTAAATTAAAGTTTCAGCTTGATGGATGGCTTCAATTCTGTCGGCTTCTTTACCGATTTTTTTTCTTGGAGTGTAGTATTTTTGAGATTGATAAGACTCTGAAACCAATTTCTTCACTGCAACTTTGTTCAAAGTTCTGTTTGCTAAATTTTGAAGCGTCTTGGTGCACTCATCATATAACAGTTGTACCACTAGTTGTGCGAAGCTCAGTTTCCGCCTCTGTGTTAAAAATAACCCATTTGGATTTAGAGCAAAAAGAAGTACCATAGATGCAGTGGTGACAATGATTAAATTTTTAAAAATTCAACTGGAAGAATCAAAACGAAATTATGCAATGTATTTTCCTGGATCTAAAAAAGTTTTCGACACAGTATATCACGAGTTATTAATTCAAAATCTTGGGTTTATGCCAGGTCCACTCCTCTTCATTATTTTTTAAATGAATTAAACCCTGAACAAAACGATACAAAGACATTTTTGTATTCCGACAACACTACAATATTAACAATCACTTCACAGAATTTCATTCGAAAAGAGCATCAAAAAGCATTAGACGACACTAGTAAGTCGCTGGAGAACCATACACTTTCTCTTAAAACTGACAAAACGAAAACAGTTACATTCAAAAAAGCAGACGTAAATTAAATTTTGAGTTTCAAATGAATCAAACGGTAACTGAAACCAAAAGTCAATTTAGGCATTTAGGTATTACCATTGACACTGGTCTCGGTTTTAACAGTCACGTAGAAAGTTTTAAGAAAAATTTGAACAATTTCTGCGCACAATCTATCAGCTGCGCAAGACTTTATCATCATCACAAATGATACCAGTTTTGAAAACTCATGTTCAGCTTGTTATTCGAAACGGGGTATTGATTTATGGCTCCATGTATATTACTAGACTCAAAAATCTTGATCAGACTTTTAGTAAACTGCACAGAACAATAATTCACAAGAAACAAATTTTAACTGAGTGTTATCATCTATACAGTGCTACTGATTTACATCTCTATGAACTGTTTCAAACATTAAACAAAGTAATTAGTACTGAAAACTCTGTCGATATACTAAGAATTATAATTTCGCTCGAAGATCTCATCAAGCTAAGCAAAAAAAACCAACTGCTAGACAGATAAGTACACAAGAACACCGAAAACTCAATAATCATACGCATTAGGAAAATCTTCAGTGCCTCACTCCGATATCATATTGATTTTAAGGAAACAATATTTAATGCCTCAACTACAGGAAATAAAAAAATAAGTCCCATTTTTTTTCGACAACTTCATAATGGAAAATCATGATTTGACAAGTTTTGCATTTAACTGATATGGCGAATCTCATATTCATCTCTTTGGTGGTGTATTTGACAAAAACTTAAATACTTGGTTTCCTTGTTTTTCAACCTCAAAAGTTATTCTGTTCATCAACAGTGTAATTTCCTATCAACGTTTTAAATTTAATTTAATTACATATAGATTTTGACCTTTTACATTTTTTGCTACATCTACTGTTTTTTTTTTGGTCAGCATTGAAATTTTTTTCCGCTCAGAGACGTTTGAAAACGGACTTATTGGTCTAAAGACGTTCTCTCAGCCTTCACTCTGGGATATAGTTGTTGCTAATATCGCTAGCTAGTCAACAAATTTGTGAGCCTGATGACAATTTGTTATTAATGTTAGTTCATGATTGGGATTTAAAAATTTTTTTTGCGCCTTGACGTTTTATTGTGTGCACTCTAATTTCTTATGGCAATTTTTTGCCATTTCCAGTACAACTATTGTTTCTCCGACTTCCCCTTTCCCGACAGTCAGTCAGACTACCCCAGTCACTCCGTCTTCTCACAGTACATCAGAGACTACGCTCTCCACTTCAATCTGCTGGATTTCATCCACTTCAACCACAGAGTCACTGCAGTAAAAGACGAGGGAAAAGAATGGAGACTGGAGGTGGAAATAAGTCATTCAAATTCAGGTAGATTAAATTTTGTCCGGATACGGGGGGAAGCTCTCATGTCAGAAAGATGGGAATAGCTTTCTAATACCTGATAACTGGTAAGGTACTCAATCTATATCAAAAAGTGTGGGGGAAATGTCAATGTGAATACAAGAAGGAAATGATAGCTGATATTTTAACCATAATGTTGCAAAACGTTACAAAAACAGAGCAAACAACATTAAAAATGCAAAAGAAGCAACCACGCTTGATCGTACTAAAAAAGAACCTGATTTCTGGGGGAAACTTTATTCTGGTGCAGTTTCTTAGGTAGTTGGTCAACTGAAAAATTTGGCAAAAAAACAATTCCGAACGGTCATTTCTTTTTTGCCAGATGCTAAGATCCTCAAAAGCGACAAACTGCTCCTGGCAACAGGCCATCACGTCACACCCAAATATGTCCAGTTTCCAGGAATTGACACATTTCCAGGAAAAATCATTCACAGTTGTGCGTATAAAAATGCACACGTTAATCAACTGGAAGGAAAATCAGTTTTGGTCGTGGGCATCGGAAACAGTGCGGTTGATGCGGCTACTGATTTGGCGAATAGGGATTGCAAAGTTCACCTAAGTACTCGGTCTGGTGCCTGGATAATCCCAAATTACATACACGGTCATCCAACAGATTTGTACGCCTCAAGGTAAGACTAAACTAAGACATGAATAAAGTAATAATTTCAATGTTTCAAAGTTTGCACTCGAGAAAAAGGATCCATAAAGAGCGCAGCTCATAGCGTCGATCAGCTGTTGGTCACATACTGAAGAGCCGTCATGCAAGTTTGGGAAGCGTTGCCTCAAGATTCCGTTGCCACGGATAAGTACGAAGCTAAAACACAATACACAATAGGATCTTTAACTATTTCACCTCTATTTGTAAAAGGGGGAGATTGTTACTAGGTATAAGTTTCACATATGTTTAACCATTGAATTAGTTCTCTACATGTGTGGCAATTCGTTACTTGTAACGGTGGCAATTCGTGGCAATTAAAGAGATCCCATAAACACATTAGTTTTTCCCATATGGAACCAGATGTAAACTATATTTATTATTTGGTTATAAATTGGATATTTTATCTCTATAAAATATTTAATATTAACCAATCACGATCCATCTAACTAACAACCCACTTATTTGTAAGTGCTTAAATTACTTGTAATTTCAGCACCAGAGAGATTTGAATTTAACTTAGAAATTAGTTACCTCTCCAAGAGAACTTTAGCAATCGCAATAAGCCAGTATACTCTAGATCTTTTGAGCCTAGCAGAGACTAGTTAAACACCCTGAGACTAGTAGATATAAGAGTAAGATTAGGATCGGTATTAGACTAAGAAGTTGCACGAATCTATCCGGCCGAAAATAAGATAGCGTGACGAGCAGACGGTGTACCCTATCCGAAATTACTCTATGAGTTACACATAAAAAATAACTCATCTGGTGCGACCATAAGTCTCGATGAAGACCTTAAAAAACAAATTAGTTTAGAACTAACAGATAGATTAGAATTAGACAAAAATATTATCAAAAATGTTACATGATAATAATCTAATTGAACTGTCTCTACGACTCAATAGATCAGAACCGCTAATCCGCACAATAATAGAACTACCAGGCATTGGAAGAAGAGCTCGAACAAGCGACGATCTACGACTACGAAGGAATTTACCATTACGTTTCATGGTCGTTTAGGATTTTATTAACAAAGAATTTAGATTTTCATTTGCAAACATAAAACCCTCGAAGAAAAAATCTTCAATCATTACTACAGGCGCTAAATCCTATTTACTATTGTACAATAACGATTTATAAAAACATCTCAAATCGTTTCCTCTAAATCTGCAGTAAAATTAAAAAAGATATCTGAAAAATATATTTATTGAAAGAAAAAATAAAAAATTAGTTGAAATGATCATTAATTATTAGTATATACAAATCATCCTGGCATGGCATCCCCCGCTTCATCACTTAAACATGATAGCAAACATTTAAACCACTAATATCATCAAACACTAAAATTTTTATCAAATAAATTTAAATTATCTTTAAAACCTTATCTAAATTTTTATCTTTCTTTCATCTCAAATTATTCAATCTTAAACTAGCTCATCAAATTCCCTTGGATCTCCATTAAAATTTAAATTAAAATCCCTTTTATATCATTAAACATTATATACTGATCATCAAGGCCTATCCTTGGATCAAAAAAAAACAATTTTGTTCTCCCCCACCCAATAATAAAGTGTCTAACGACCTCAAACGTCGATTCACAACCCAACTCTTTTTAAAGACCCAGGACTAATAGAAATTTTTCAATCACACTAGCCATTCAAATTAAGCTAAACAGTGAAGAACTTTGGTTATTCATCCTTCACTTAATCCCCCCTCTTACCTGACCCAGGCTAAACCTTAAATCTTAGTAAGTATTAAAATAGTATCTAACGAACTACCTGTGTTCTAATTATACCTGAACCTTGTGGATTGATTAACTATTCTCCAACCCTTGAACACGATCACTACCCCTAAGTAAGATTAAGTAAGTTAACACCTTAACTTAGAATAGCCACGAGAATGTAAAAATCATTCTTCGGAATCGATATATACTTTTCTCTCCAACCCTACATAAAAGACCCAAGTTAGACTAACCAAAAAATCGTAAGGACTAACAGTCTATGTTTTAAAATCACTAATAACAACCTTGCACCCTGCATCCTAAACCTTATGTCACTGAACAATTTAGGAAATAAACAAACAATCGTACTACACAATTTTAAAATAAATAACGAAACATATGATCTTGTAATTACACCGCATAAACAAACAATCGAATAAATTCGCACAAAACGTCAAACAAAAAAAAAGAAAAATTTTAAGTAAGCAAAGACAAATTACACGAAAAAGATTTTCAAAGCATAGAAACGCAGTCTCTGAATCAGAAGTCAGCGATTTAGATGCACTCTACAAACTAAAAGATACAGTAAATAAAAACCATCCAGTTCATGATCAATTATACTTTTCCGATTCAGAAGCTACAACACATTCATCAAAACAAGGAAAAAGAAGAATAAAAAAAGATATACAAAAATAAACCAGTACGTTTATACAGTTGGAACCAACCAATCAGACACATTGAACATTACGCACTGACAGTCATAAAACGAAAAAATGAGCAAAGCCCAAGTGACGAAAGTCCAGACGAAGACTCTGTTTTCCCATTTATCATCTTTTCGCTCACTGAAGACAGAGGACAAACACAATTTTGTCATAATCTAATCGCAAATATATTTGAACAAGGAATTAGCCCATGTAAAGCAGAATTCCCAGAACTAAAAATCAAAAGACAAATTGTCGATCATTACATAAAAAGAATATGTAACTTAACACAACAATATGGAATTTACACCATAGAACTCAGTACAACAAGAAAAGTCCATGGCAAATATGTTATCCAAACAGATGATGTCGATATAGAATTTTCAAAAGTATTCACAGAATACATTAAAAACATACAACATCAAAATTCACAGAGAGCAAATACGTATTTCACTAACGATGTTTTTGCAATAATATATAATTATTTATACTAGAAAAAAAAGAAACCGAAAGCACATCACCGGTTCAAACATCAAGACACACAAATGTAAGAAATGAAATTGCGGCATTCTCAGCATTTTTAAACACAATCCGTGAAAATTTTTCAAATAACGAAATTTCACCAAATGTTAAACACGATTTACAAAAAATCTTAGCATGGTTTATAATTGACTATTTTACCCACAATATAGATTCAATTGCACAAGCAAGAAAAAACTTTAGACCCCAGAGTACAAATGATGACACTGTCATTGCAGAACAATCAGTTTACGTTTGGGACCCTGAATGGTCCCATCCATTATTTCTGAACATTCCAATAGACATCTCAAGTCCAGCAATCAGTACAATAACTATTCACAAACATTATATAAAAGTAATCCCACTAATAATAGATGCAACACTTTTAAACTATAATTCATTTTTACCTATAGACGACAAAATAATAGTTTAAATTCAACTCTTGTACAACAAGAAAACTTAAATGGAACTAGAATTCTTACACAACAAGATATTCAAACACCATCACATTTTATAAATGAAGAAATAGTTGAAACAATTGTAACAACCACACAACAGAGTGTTTCACCAATACATCCAAAATTTACAACGCCAAAACCAAAGACTTCAATGTTACCCCAAGTAACATTACAATCTACAGTTAAACCCTCGGTTGCTCCAAAATACTCACATATGGAATTCCAAACATTTACACCAATGACGAAACCACCGCAAACACAAAAAGTATTCACCAGAAGTAATTTTGCAGAACACAATTATAACTATGTAAATAGATCGCAAACATCTAAACCTCCTCGTACAAATCAATATAATCGTTCATTTTCACAACGACAAAATTCCCAACAACACACATCAAATTTCGTAAATTTTATTCATAACCCACGTATTCCAACAGAATCAAGTGAAAGCTATCCATTTTTTCAACAGAATAAAAATAGTAAAAAACCATACCAATATAAACAAAAAACACCTTACTATACACCTAATTATCATTCATCAGATGATGACGAATTTCATGACCAAAGCCATCAACAAAATTTTCAAAACCAAAGACTCCAGTCTCATCACGTAAATCAACCAGATTTTTTTGAACCATATACACGAGAACAACATATGCGACAACCTAGATCAAATTACGAACCTCAAAATAATAATTTTTATTCACAAAATCAAGCAAATACCAATACATTTGGACCAACGCAAACGCAAAACGAAATAACACTACCATATTATTTGCAACAACATGAGATAACAAAAAACCAACTGACAAATTTTTCACAAATGCCAAATGCCGCTGAATCACTACAAATGACTATGAACCCATACCTCATGGGTCGATTATCAATAACATCAAACAAACCACTAATGGTATTCACAGGCACAGACCCTGAATATTCTGTATAAGACAATTTAAATGCAGTCACAGCAAATTTAATTTTAAACATCGGACCTGAACCAATTAATACACCACTCCATCAAAATTGGATACATAGACGCACAGCGTTAATCCAAACAACACTTGATGACGCAGCTCAGAAATGGTTTTCAGTTTTACCAATAGATATAAAAACAAATCGGAAAAGATTTATACAAGAATTTTCAAAAATGTTTGATTCTGGAAGAAATAAACAACACCAAAGAGTTTTATGCAATGAAATTCGCAGACTACCAAAAGAAACAATTAAACAATTGGCAGTTAGAATCGAAACACTAGTTCGAAAAGCATATTCACTAAACACTCATGATTATAAAAACACGAAAATGACAGAAATTTTAATGATGACTCTTACACACCAATTAAGAAAAATAGCTGTAAAAAAAGAGCATCACATCCTTCATCAATTCGAGAACCAGATTTCAGAAAACTAGTTGACAAATTAGAACAAGCAGAAATCACAATGAAACTTGAAGAAACAGAAAATCTTAAACTATAATACGTTAATAGAATCGAAACAAATACTACACAAATAAACAACATACACGATTCAGATGTAGACCTAACTGAACAAATCACTGAAATTTTGAACATATATG